TTGTGACGAAAATTTCGAAGTTTTTTCCGAGTAGGTCTGTATCATCAGGCTACCCCTCTTTCGGTTGATTCGACAGCAACAGATGCTGGCATGTTGGTGCCAGTGCAATACACTGAACAAATTCGTGGTTTTTTCTGTTTCTTGGCATCGGCTACCAAATAACTGCCATGTTGTGGAAGACAGCTGGGAGGTCCATCGCAGTCCGAAGGCTTCTTACCGCGTCGCTTACCATCGGCGCACATTCCGAGCTTTTGAAAGCAGGAGCAGTCGAACATACTCTTAGTGGGAAGACGATTTTTTCGCTATAATCGCTGCGAAATGCTGTGGCAGAAATGCCCCAGAGAGAGTATTGAACACTGTTCACACACATTTTACAGTGAATGATTCAAAACGATCCCCAAAAATATTGCCAGATGAAGAAGTAAATGGCAAGGACAACCTATGAGATAAAAAAGGTCAGTGCCTTTATGAAGATTATCTCAAGATGGACTATAAATTACGCCAAGCACAAGAAAGCACAAGAATAATAAGGCCCACCTGACCAAATACGTCCACTGTTTTTCCTTCGTTAGTAATTCAACTGCTTCAGTACCCGTGATATTAGCATGGAACCAACGTTGTGAAGCTGGAGCGCGAGCTTCCTGCGCCGCTGGCTCAAACAATGGAATAGAGATAGGTCGCCTAAAACGCACTACATCAAAAAAATAGGAGAACCAAAATTATTCTAGTCTTCAACTCAATATTGCTTAGCGCTCAAATTTCTTACCTACCATGATGATACATTTTTATAAAAGTAAGAATGAAAACACGTGCAAAAACTGGAAAAGCTTGAAAATAAAGATCAACCATCGTTTAACCACGCCGCTTAAGCTCTATCGCGCGACGGATCACAGAAATCACAAGTGCCCGATCAATACTGCAAGGTGCTCTCCAATCCCGCCGCCATTTCTGCTTGATGGTGATGGTTGAATGACGACTGTTCATGATTCCACTTGTTTCATATTCAGTGTTTCAAATGTTCAAATGGGGCACTTGCGTTTTTGCGATTCGCGCGAATCGCGCGATGTACCGCAGACTCTGACCAGCGTTATGGTCACGTTCAATGTGATCTATGAATAAGTGCACAAATTTGAAAAGAAGGTAGCGTATACGCGAAAAAAAAATATTCTACTCGGGTGTGAAGCGCATGCGCTGCACACGATCCCAAGTGCTCAAAGGGTGCAGCGCACACGTTGCACGCTGTTGTCAACGTGTTAAATAGAAAGTGAGACGTTCTTGCCACAGCTTTACTCAACGTACTCTCCTGCTCATTACCCAAATGATTCCCATGAGATACTTTTACGAAAATTTCCAGTCTTCGAACATTCCGTCCCTCCAAAAACAATTGGGACCCACGCAGAGCCTCGCTTCCACAAACCTTTGTGCAGGCACACA